CCTGGATTATCCTTGCTACCCTTCTTAAACAAGGGGACAACATGACCAATTCTCCAGTCCTCCGGGACCTCACCTGTGCTCAAGGATGCTGCAAAGATATCTGTTAAGGCCCCAGCTATTTCCTCTCTCGCTTCCCTCAGTAACCTGGGATAGATCCCATCCGGACCTGGGGACTTGTCCAACCTCATGCCTTTTAGAATACCCAACACTTCCCCCCTCCTTATGCTGACTTGACCTAGAGTAATCAAACATCTGTCCCTAACCTCAACATCCGTTATGTCCCTCTCCTCAGTGAATACTGACGCAACATGGGTCAGCTCTCTGAGGTTTTACAGACACAGCTCACTTGGGAATCCTTCAGATGTTCTTCCCATCATTCTTTCAGAAGTACAATTAAGATTTCAATCTGATTTAATGACCTGGGTTTTCTTTTCAGAAATGAGAGTGATCAGCTGGGCAGCTTGTTCTTAGCATGCTTCCTCCAACTCACCTTGTTCTTAGTAGAGTTTTCTCCAACCCAGCTTGTTCTTAGAAGGCTTTGCTCGAACCCAGCTTGTTCTTAGCATGCTTTCTGCAACTCATCTTGTTCTTAGTAGGCTTTTCTCCAACCCAGCTTGTTCTTAGTAGGCATTCCTCTAACACAACTTGTTCTTAGCAGGCTTTCCTCCAAATCAGCTTGTTCTGAGCAGGCTTACCTCAACCTCAACTTGTCTTTAGTGGGCTTTCCTCCAACCCAGCTTGTTCTTGGCAGGCTTTCCTCTAACTTGCCTTGTTCTTAGCAGGCTTTCCTGCAACTCAACTATCCCTAGCAGACACCCCTCCAGCTGAACCAGATAAAACAAGCAACTCTCTGACCCAGCAAGTTTTAATATAAACATAACTTTAATTTTAATATAAATCAAATTTGGAAAATGAGGATTAAAATGCACAATTGTCTTGTTGTAATCACTGTAGGTAGACTCGATTTCATCAATTTTGTAGCATTGAAGCCCTGTGTACATACATTATTCTTCGGGGAATGAGAATTCATGACTACACAATTGAGTTGTTGTGTAAACAAACAGGTCCAAGGTTGAAGGTTGAGATAACAGGGATCTGAAAGAGCTTGGGAATTATAAACGAGTGCTGAGGACACAGTATTTATGGGATCCTCTTTGGGGAGCTCAGATGGGATCATCTCTTGCACAGATGATGAATAAAGCCACACTTTGATAAATCCATGCAGCCCCAGGGTGCGGGGGTGGCACACAGGTTCGATCCCACCCTCGGGCGACTGTCTGTGTGGAGTTTGCACATTCTCCCCGTGTCCGTGTGGGTTTCCTCCCACAGTCCAAAGATGTGCAGGTTAGGGTGGATTGGCCATGCTAAATTGTCCCAATAGTGTCCAGGGATGTGTAGGTTAGGGTGGATTGGCGGTGCTAAATTGTCCCATAGTGCCCAGGGATGTGCAGGTTAGGGTGGGTTGGCCGTGCTAAATTGCCCCATAGTGCCCAGGGATGTGCGGGTTAG